TTTATCCTTAGAATCTATAATTATAGAATCAGAAGCAAAGCGCTTGTAGAGTACTTCTATATATAGCTATGTATACGTAATCGTGCATATGCGCAAGCGCGCACGTGAGCGATCGCAGCTGCGATTGGGTGCGATCCGTGACATTTATTAGTTTATTAGGTAGGGTAGGTAGGTAGGTAGGTAGGTTGTGTTCTAGATTCTCGTGATCTTTGGAGAGGGAGTTGCATGGCGAGGGAGAGGGAGATGGGGATACTGAGTTGGTAGGTAGGTATATAGGTTGGGTGTTGGTATTGGAGTTGATGTTGGAGTTGAGTATTGAAGTTGAGTACGGAGGTCGCGGTCATTTGGAAGAGGACTAGGTAGCCCTGTAGATGCCTATAATCAAGCACACTAATTGGGCACTATAGAGTCTGTGTTTAGATAATTTTAAGCCCGCATTAGGCTTGACAAGCCTATAAGCTTTAGGCAATATAGTTTTGGGTTTGATCTAGAGCCCAATTGAGCCGAGGATACAGGCATTACTAGCCTATTCGGGTAGAGCGGAGATTAGATTTTATAGATCCCGATCAAATCCGATGAATTATAGAGCCTTACAGCATAGCAGTAGTAAATTCCTAATCGATTCGGTCTATATAGCTATGCTACCTTACAGCATATATACCCTGAAAGAGCCTATAATCTCTTTCAAAATGACCGCGACCTTCGTATTGGAGTTGAGTATTAGAGTGAGTATTGGAATTGAATACTGGAATTGAATATTGAAATTGAGTATTAGTGTCACGGGATCACCTCTGGGAGTATTCAGAAGCTTTACCGCTGAGCTAAACGCCCAAAAGACTAGGAGGTAGAACTGAAAGTTCTACCTTACTCTCACATATATAGCAGGACAGGACAGGACAGAAAGGGCTTAGTGTCCACCCTGTGACAATTAGTATAATATTTTTTTGCTTGTATATTTGTATATACATGAAGAAAAAGAAACGAGAGATCACATAGAGATTGAGTGGGTTTTTATTTAGATATATATCCAGGTAGATATCTAGATATATATGGAAAGGCTAGCTAGAATGGCAAGTATAGCCGAGTCACGTGTCCAGAGAGTACGTGCGCCCTTACATATATTCTCTATATAATTCTCTATTAACAAAAATAAACTTACAGTTATTGATTGATTCTATATTAAAAAATATTTCGAAATCAAATTAATTATTTGTATTTTGAATTATTTATTTTAAAAATATTTTCGAAAATCACGTGTCGCGTGGGTCCGTGCACCCACTGGTGGTGCTCGGAATGATAAGCGACAAGCGGGTGTACCGAGAGTGGAAAACAATGCGGATTTGTATATAGTCTAGTCTAAGAAGATTCTGATATGAACAAACAGAGCAAACACAAGCCCGGCTGGCACAATTGGTTAGCGCGTGGGCCTTTTAAGATAGATTCTATCATACGAAAGCCCAAGGTTGAGAGTTCGAGCCTCTCGTCGGGCGTTTGCAATGTTTTTTTTTTTGCAGATTTTTGCTAATTTCCCCCTTCATCTCCAGCCACACGTGACGCTCATCAGGAGCTCGAGCCTCTCATCGGGCGATTTCTTTTGTGATTAGTTTTGATCTTCCCTTAAATGAGGTGATTGTATCTTTTTTTGACCTGGTGTTGATCATTGGTGATGTGACTTAGTTGTTGTAGGCAAATTGAGGGATTTTTTGACGCCAGACAATTTCTTAACGCCGTGTATCCACATCGGGAGAGAATTATCGATTTCGACTTTTACACTTGCTCCAACATTACAGTTTCAATAATTGAGTTTTGAACACCTGCTTCTCTGCCAAGCAGTGCTTACGCTGAACAAGTTAACAATGTTTTCAAGCCATCAATCGAGAGGGTTGTTGATAGACGCTAGAAAGTTTACTCTCCCATACCTTCGCTTACATGACCTATACGTCTTGTCGCGATTCAATAATATGACTCTTAATCTATAAAATATTCAAAGAAACTTTCTATTATTGACTGTTGGAAATGTTTCTGAATCCACTCTCTTGAACAATTGATCCACTTAGACCCACATAGTTACGATCCTCCATACCCGCCATATACGCTTACTCGTGCAAGACGAGACGAGCTGGAGTAGAACGAAAAGCATATAGGATAAATGCGGAGGGATACTGGTAAATGTATGTGAATCCTTCTTTTGATTGTATGAACTTTTGATATCTGTCACTGGCAAGTACACACTAGTGATACTGCTGTGTATATTTATGATCCTTCGTATTATCACCCTGTAAACGCAACGCAACGCATTGACATCTGATAATCTGTTGTGTACATCTTATCGATACGATAAAACTTATGACTCTGCTGCTACGATTGATAATAAATAAGAAGTCGGTATTTGAACAGTTGATACTTACTATAACCGAGACCTGTGGCTGAAGAACAGCTTAATGAGGTATTTTCAGGTCGATTCGAAGTTTATTTGTAATTCTTCTAGGTTCTCTAGAAAATGAAGATTAGACACGGTTGTCATCCTCGACAAGATTTGTCCCGCTTGATAATTAAAGAACGATTGACAATAATAAAAGTATAGTGACAGTCTTTTACGAATATAATATTCATGAAGTTATTTGATACTCCAGACTGACTATGTGAGAGAAGAGCAATCAGCCGAGTCCCCTTGGTTTTATATAATTGTGGCTAGAGAATAAGTGGCTGGATCCACCATAATTCCACTTACTATCGACTAATTTGGCAGGTCGACGCCTTTAGAGAAATGCAGGTGTATGGAGAAATTTGATAAGCGGTCAGATTGCTAATGATTATTCGCTGTCAGCACGCTTTTGCTTTTCGGGACGACATACCGGTATTGAATTTAGATTATAAATATCTCTCTCGAAATCTTGGAGTATATAAGTAGGAGAAAGAGGTTTCGAGCATTTCAATCTTTTAGACAAACCTACGAAATATCTCTTATTCGTTTTATTCATATACAATCCTACACCGACTGATGGACGAGACCCAGCCATTGCTCGCACCGGTACCACCGCCTACAACCACAGCTGGGCAATTTCCATACATACCGGATGTCAATGTTCCAAATGATGAAGTTTTCGATCACAGAGTCGATTTCAATCCCAATGGAGACCCGGAAAATCCATTGGAATGGCCAAAGGCTTATCATAATGGAGTGATTTTGCTTTTAGCTTTTATGGCTTTCACAGTGTACGCATCTCATCCCACCTTCAACCCGAACTCAATGTCTAACAATCCATCAGAACATTCACCTGTATCGGTGTCGTCCCCATCGCCCGAAAAATTGTCCTCGATCTCGAGAATCGAGAATCAAAATCTGCATCCGTTCTTCTGGTTACGATATGGGAACTCGGAGAAGCAGCTGGTCCGTTACTCATTGCCCCACTTTCCGAAGTGTACGGTCGAGCGGCCGTGTTTAACGTGGCGAATGTTTTGTTTATCGTTTGGACCGTCGTGGCTGCGTGTAGCCAAACGTCGCATTTGTTCATCCTGTCGAGATTCATGACGGGTTGTGCGGTGGCTTCGAATGTTCTGAATCCGGCTGTTATCGGCGATATGTTACCACCTGACCAAAGAGGTTCAGCTATGGCAACACTCATGCTTGCACCACTTTTGGGTGGTGCTATTGGACCTGCTATTACCGGAGCAATTGCTCAATCGATCGGATGGAGAAATGTTCTTTGGTTCGCGGCGGGCATGGCTGGTGTTTGCGAGCTTTGTTTTATTCTTCTCTTTCGGGAAACGTATAAAATTCGTATTCTACAACGAAGAATTGCAAGATTGAAAAAGCAAAAGAATGAGGATGGTCTGGCACTCAAAGTTGTGGTGGAAGAAGAGTGTGAACATACAGCGCTTGCTATATGGAAGGCTATCAAAAGACCTGCAGCAGTATTCGGGGGATCTTTCGTGCTTCAAATTTTGTCCTTCTATGGTGCAATTGTTTTTACATTTTATTACATCATGTCGACAACTTTACCGGAGGTTCTAAAGAATGTCTATGGATTTGCCCCCACGACAATTGGTTCTTCTTTCATTGCTTTTAGTAAGCTCCACGCTATCCCTTCCAGCGAATCTCGTACATCTGACTAACATGATTAGGCGTTGGATCAACCTTTGCCGTCTTCCTTTGTAATATGCTGATAGATCGCATATACATCTATCTCCGAACCAAGAATAACGATCAATCGCATCCAGAATTCCGCATGCCTCTCACTATCATCAGCGGTTGCATTCTCCCCATCTCCATCGCGCTTTTTGGATGGACCGCCGCAAAGGGCTGGCCCGCTGCATTACTTCTCTTTCTAGTCGGTCTCCAGGGCTTCGCTATCTTAACGAGTATGGTTCCACTAATGGCTTATGTGGTGGATGCATTTGGATTGTATTCGGCAAGTGCTTTGACAGCGGTACTCATTACAAGATGTTTGATGAGTACATTTTTACCGTTGGTGGTTGGTCCGTTGACTGATCAGTTGGGATATGGATGGGGATTTATGATTGTTTCGGGTGTATGTTTGGTGGTGGCGCCGGTGCCTTGGTTGGTTATGAGGTATGGTGAGAAGTGGAGACAGTGCTCTGCGTATACGAGGGATGATTGATTATGATTTATGACTAGATTGGATTTCGGATTATGGATGTCGGGATCTGCCTGAAGTAGAAAAGATGGATGTTTGGAATTTTACTGTTGATATGGGTATAAAGGTGCCTAGGAGCCTATATATCAATGATGGAATGAATACACAGATTGCCTTGTATTTGTCAAAGTTTCATTCTTTGGGGCAAGACTCGAGATCGCAAGACCTGGAGCAAATATTCCAACATAATCAATGTCTCAGAGTCTGTGAGAAAATCAACATTCGACCATAGCGCTGCCTATATAAATCTATAAGTCTCATTGATACCTTGCTGGTCATCTGTGGTGTCCTCGGCGTGCATAACTCCCCCTCTCTCCGCCCCCAATATTTGCTATATCAAGATTATTGTCCTTTTTCTGCACTGTCAAAATCGATGTTCTCGACTACAGTCTCATCTAAACCTCTCACCCGCTTCCTCAATAGTTCGAGAATTTCATCAGAACCCCATGCTTGCAGTCCAAAGAAAGGCTCGCCTTCCCATTCATTACGGCCGTTTCCATCATCCTTCCAAAGTGTCATATCTCCTGCCTGGGTAATCGGGTCGTTTGTCTCAGTCTCAAGTTCCCATGTGTCATGTAAACATTCCTTCGGCTTAGATCCTTCGAGGTTCTCTAACCATTTGCGGTGGCCAGCTAATCCTCCCTCAATCCACTCGTCGTATCCGGGTAGAGTTCGCCACAAATTGACTCTTTCTTCAATTAATTGTTCGTAATGCCTTAAACAGAGAATGACCTGATCAATATTTTCATCAAATGTTTCGAAAAGGGAGCGATCGGTGAAGTGGAAGGGGCCCACCAAAGCAGGCATGCAATATATCGTTTCTAGCAACACGCAAGTATTCCTTATGTTTAAAATACCTTGCGGCGGATGAGCAGTAGCGGGTCCACAACTGTCCCCCGGATCATAACCAATCCAGAATGTATGTGGACGATGTTAAAAAGACATAAAGCTTTTGGCTGTTAGACTTGTCATGTTTGTCGCACGGCTCCGCAAGATCAAGCCAATTCTTGGAGTCGTCTGAAGTTTGATTCAATTCCTGGGACTGGCGTTGAAATTTTCGGTTATCATTCTTAAGTATTTTAATCCGAACCTCGTCCTTCAGGAACAAATCTGGATAGAATACTGCGCACAGTGACCATTCGTGAGATTCCTCATCTCTAATCATGGTGATTGTATGTCTGAAAGCCTGTTGCTGAGTAGTGTGCAAGCCGATGTATAACTCAAATGTCTTTCTCTTTGAAAATAGTCGCAGCGGAAACTGCGCTGGACGTAGTGAATGAGCCGAGAAGTGACCGTCTGCACATACTGGCGAGAGTTGATTGAACTGTAACCATATCGGGAGCCAAAACAGCCATCAAGCCAAGCTGAATTTGCTGTGGTCATTTTGAAGGTGATTCGCGATCTGGCATCCATCTTTCCTTCCTTCCAACATCTTTGAACAAAGTCTTCTCTCCGAATAACATACGGTCTCATGCTACGGAAAAGTAAGATGACAGCCGCTAACGGGCGATCAGGAAGACGCAAACTCTTTTGGGCCATCGTTTTGATATCTTTTGTTCCAGTCCATGTTTCTAGATGTCCTTCGGGGTTAAATGTTAGACACTACACTAGAAACTACGTCGACAGTGTTTACCCCTTGTAGAAACTCTATTATAATAGAAACTGGAGAGTGTGGACATACACAATAGTTGATCATACAAGATTACACTAGTTTAAAACACCAATTATACTTTTTGCAAAATCCACTCATTAGCCGGATGTTCCTAGAACTATGTAGTGTAAACTCTATGCGACCTCTTCCCAATGCACAGTGTTTCTCTGCCTTCAAACATTTCTGACCCAACTTATCATATCTCTCTTGAAGATAACGTCCATCCTACCACCATTGTCATCAACAAAGATGTGTTTTGGTTCCCAGGAGCGCCACATAATCAAGTTCCCACTTTCCTCAACCCTGATCCCCTCCACTACCACCGGATCATCGACAAATTTGATCAAAACTTTTTGTTGATCTTTGGTTGTCAAGTCGGGCATCACGCTTTGGGCTGGTCTGAAATTCATTGTCCGTAAGTCTGCCATCTGTCCATGCTCATGCTCCCATCTCTGGAATAATGGCACGAAACGCCGCTAGTATTAGGAGGCAGCTGCATAACTGGCAGCTGTGCGACAGTCTCAGAGACATTGTTGGTTACACTTCCTGACCTCTTGAATAGGGTAGGCGATTCTTCAATTGCAGGTGACCCAGGGCAATTATCACTTACGCTCTTTTTGCGCAAATGGCCAGATTGCGCAACTTGTTCCACGCTCATCCTTTTCTTTGCGTTCGGTGTCAAGTCTTGACTTTGACAGCCTTTCCCTTGATCCTTCCACCATTACCAATCTGTCAGTCGCTTGGTTCAACTGCTCACAACGCCTAGTCAGTATACATGATCAGTTATTTGCATCATAGTAGCCCTCTCACTATATTTTGAACATAATCCTTTCCGTCACTTTTTCTCTTCTCTTCCCTCTCTATTGTCTTCCTGGTCGACAGAATGTTGATCGTATTATGGATAGCTTTGCTTCAAGGAGCTCTTCTGGGTTGTCTGGCCACAATGAAATGCGTCGGGATGGGTTGACTTGCAACTTAACTTCCTGGCCATGAGCGGGAGCAAGTTGTGTATCTGCAGGCGTGATTTCGTTATTCGAAGACGTCTTCGTCAATAATCGCCCATGGGTATTGTTTTGGCGGGGATTCATTGACTTTCTGCAGCCAGTAACTATACAGAGGTTCGAGCTCTGCGACCCTTCTTCCTCAGCCTTCAGTACGTAGTCGTTGTAACTGGTTCCACATGTGGAGGGAAAATGACCTGGGTTGTCGATCTTGCAGTTCCGAGAAAGTAGTTGGATGATGGTAATAACATTTTCAAAGTAACGTAAACTTGCAGGAAAGATCGGATATCTTCTTAGGAACAAACGGCGTTTGGCTTCCCTCTTGGAGATGACTTTTGCTTCGAAATGCAAGTTGCTCGGAGCTTGAGCTGGAGGAGATTTGGAAAGTTGGAAAGTTGGATGGAAGAGGGGGAAGAGGGGAGAGTAGAAAGAGGAAGGTGGTTGGGACTTGAGAGATACGGAAAGTAAAGTACAGAGATAATTAGCGATAGCAGGTTTAATTGTTATTCACCCTCCAGATTTTCGAGTTGAAAATCGAGAGAGATATATATTAATTCTATAACCTAAAGTGAATCTTTCAGAATTTTCGATCAGTTTTGCTAGGACGACTTGTCTGCTAAAAATATAACCAAGATTTCAATCGATCTATCAACTTTCTCTTCTTCGTATTCTTAAACAACAGTTCAGAGTACTTCAATCCATTTCTTGAAGAACTTTTTCTGCAGCTTTGAATAAATTGAAAAAGTGTGTTTTACTTGACAGACTATTTGAAGGATATTTACAGATATAAATATCTACTTCCTACAAATAGCACGCATCAAAACAAAAATCCCAAGGAAAATCCCAAATCAACATGTACATTCTCACAATCCGACAGATGGAAAATGTATCTGTCAACTAGTCGTCACCCAATCCTTCGAAATCAAGGAGATAGTCTATGATAAGGCAATCACACTTCAAACCATGGAAGTTAAAACTGAGTATAAATGGAGTGGTGCCATACCAATTGAGAAATCGACCGATGCCGAACTATTTGCGGTGGTGTGCGAGGAATCGCCAATTGTGAAGCGGATCGCGTTTTTGGTTGCAGATGTGGTATTTGTAATGAAGAGAAACATAATTGTATGGACGGATTTTCCAATCCCTCAATTTTTCATTGAGATGGTAAGCAGCTTCTGAAGAAGGGGGCGTGAAGAGAGACAGGAAAGATGCTAACGTTGATCAATAGTGCCTGAAGGCAACCGATTGTCCTTGCAAATCGTACCATTCTGGTTTGAGCGAGGTGGACCGACAAGAACTGCTTACCAGATTCAACTCGGCAGGGAAGCAGCATTCGGGATGATAATGTCGACGAAGCTATCGACGTACGGCCTGAACATTCAACACAATTGCTCCGACGGGATCATGTCTGGCACCACCTTCTCCGATCCCCAAGAGGGCCAAGCACTCGCACGGATTTACCGAATTGGTCAAACACGAAGTAGTCGGGCCCGTAAGCTCGTGGTGGAGAACACGTTCATGCAAGTCCGCATGACTAAGCGATTTCATAACGTTGCGCCTGATTTGATTGCACATATGGCGTAAGAGGATGACATGGCGAAAGCTGATATGGAGTATTTTGCTGAGATCTCGAATCCGATGGCGCTGATTCTGCGGAAAAGATACAGACTGTGGTTGAAAAGTTATGGGGGGAGTTGAGGGTGTAGCGATATTTTGATGTATTTGATGTGGGGTGGAATATGGGCGGCTTGGGTATAGAGTGTTCTTCTGAACAGATTATTTCTGACTTGTGGGTTGGAGAGTGGTTGATCGGTGATGATTTACTACGTTTTATAGATAAATCAAAGTGGGAGCAAATCCAGAGAATAAACGAACTTTATGATTTGCGATAGATCACGCATTTATTTGCCATGATGTATAAGAACACGTCCTGCTTATATCACCCTTGACGTTAGCATAGGCATGCCATTTCCATCCTGATACAAAATGTGCGTTGTATTCGTTTACTTTGGAAATCATCCATCATCTAGGAGCGGTCTCGGAAGATTAGCCAAGCGAAAGTCACCTGAATGTATCTTTTCCATTCCGACTACAAAAATGACCATAACTGCCATCGAGGAGCTTGTCGGGCATCATAAAAAAATAATCTCATGATCTCTTGATGTCCTTAAGACGTGCGATAGTATAACGGGCCATGAACACTCAATTCAAATCCAAGATGAAGTAAGCCCCTTAGTAAATGAAAAAGACGTATGCGTGGGTAGCATTTAACACAGGACTCGAACATGCACACTGCAGCCGAGCAACGGTTCGCATATGACTGGGAGAATCACGTGCGCTCTCTAATATCTCTGGAGTGAGAGAGATCAATTGAATATGTGATATATCTCCGGAACTATAATGTCAGGAATATAAATACTGCATATGTCTACGCTTGGGAAAAAATTTCGTGGTAATCCTGTATTAACCGTTGAATTTTTTTCCAAATAACGTAGAATCAAGAGGAGAATATTCAACGTACATGCATATATCTCTATCAGGATCGTAGCAAGTGGTGCGAAGGAGGGAAGAAACTTATGATCACTTTCACTCTCACCCTCACTACTACGTTCTGAGCTCGATATCTTTGAGTCTGACTACAGAACTCTATAGAGATGTTACACGGTAGTAGGTCATCCAGTCTCAACTTTGCTCTGAGACCTATCGGTGTCGTAGTTTTCTAGATACATTCTATATGGAAAGAATGATAAGGAGCTAGCAAAATGGGAAGATTTATGCCTTTAATACTTGATATTCGTACAGGTGTTCAAAATTCCAGCTGCCATTCGATAATGAGCGAATTTCGACATCTGAATCCGCCTGGAACATTCAATTCCTCATGAACGTTTATTTCATGTGAAAGTTTCCAACGCCTTGAATATTTGAGTTTAGCTTGGGACATTCGTTTATCCTGATTGTTGAGATAAATTCGAACATTTACGTTTAGTAATTTATCTAGAGTATTGGTCTTGCCCGACAAGAGACAGACCCATAAATGCACTCTCGTTTGAAACCGTTAGATGGTTGCTTGATTTGAATATTTTCTTTTTATTGTTCGGATTCGTGATGTTCATAGAGACAGAACGAAAGGGCAGTATTGAGAGAAAGATGTGATTCAAAGTATTCCTCACAGTGATCCGATGAGATTGTGATTTTGAGCCTTTGATAATTTTGAATTTCTTTGCTTGGTCTTGATGTTGCAATCACGGCTGGTTTCTCTTCATATTTATACATACATATATGTACATGTCTTGCATGTGGGTGAGAAGAGCGAATATCACATTCGAATCTTCTAATCCAGACTGAATAATCGGATGCTTTCAATGTTCGAATGTAACTTAGATAGTTAATCAATCCTCTGGGTGTAATCATAGAGTTGACATCTACATCGTACGTGAATGCGATTCAGTCATCCCTCCTCGTGTGGCATGAACTGTCATTTGAATGGTAAAGACTGGCTGCTTAAATTTTGCTGCTAATTGGTCTGAATTTGAATGTTGATACTAATGAGATATCCAGTCAACATGGTCTATTCTCAGTACATCAATCCTCCAGTAGTTCGTGGTAATCCTCTCCGCCGGAGATGTATCCGCGGTTTCGTCACCTGTTGAATGGATTCACTGTCCTACATGTACACTAGCTTAGCATTAGTCATCAATAGACGTACCTTGACAACTTTTTTGGAACTGTCTTCTCTTCTAGGCAAGGACAAGTGGAGAAAAGGGGTTTCGACCAATACTTCGCTTGCGTGACAAAAAGATTCACGATACTATTCTCCACCAACTCCACCACCATCGAAGAAAAAAATCAATCTCGATATATTTTTACATACGACCTCGCGCCCATACCGTAAATTCACGCAACCCTCACTTGGTGTAATGGTCAGCACGTCGGATTCTGATTCCGGAGATATTGGTTCGATTCCTATAGAGAGGTTCACAAGATCATGATGAATCCTCTACGTGGCTCAGTTTGATTCTGAGATTGAACGCTACCTTTTTGGGTCACCTTTTTACTGTTGAGTAGTCAGCAATCGTCAGTGTGATTGAAACCCTGCGAGAAAATCATTGTGCCGAGGTTTTGACGGAAAGTTGTAGTATGGCTGCGCAGTACATATGATAGTCTGGATTGTAGTCCAACAACAAGGGTTTGAGTATCTAAAAATAGTTAGAAGTCTTAAAATAATTCAGTATTCTAATCAAATTCAATATCTCGAATGATTTGAATGTTCTAATTGATTGAGGATTTGGCAATCTTCATTATTGGTCTGCAATCCGGACAATTGGACACGCTGGTATAACATCAGGGTAATGTTTTGTATGTTTGAGAGCTTATGAGAAATCATCGTGTTAAGCTTTTGACGGAAATTTCTATACAGTACAGAATCTCTTTACTACACCTTAGACATAATCAGATTGTTATGTTAGATTCTATAGTAACATATACGAGTGTAAGAGTAATTACATAGGGACTTGAAAGGGATGGGGTTTACAAAGGGACTCACTCTCCATTGTATGTACACTTCCACTCCCAGACACAATGAAGTGGAAGCACAAAGATTTGCCCTCTGCGTCTATCTCCCAACTCCTATACACAATGACTTTACAAGCATACAGACGCCAACTCGCCTACAATTTAGCTTTGTGAGTGACAGTCGTACCAAGAATCTGACATTTATTAATGCTCAGGTTCTGAACCTCAACACAAATATTTTTACGAAATCTAACTCTTGTAAACAAATCATCTAGTAAATCTCTACTCTCATACGAAATTTCAGACTACAAGACTCATTGTTCGAATTGTTTTTCATTTTTTCCGTAGTAGAAACCCCCACCTAAAGATCTTCGCTTCCGGCACAGCCCCCAACATTTCCTTTATAAATTAATTTGAGGGGCGATCACCAACATCACATGATATCCCTGCTGGCGCAATGGTAGCGTGCAAGACTCCTAATCTTGAGGCTACAGGTTCGAGTCCTGTGTAGGGAGTTTACGCATAGTAAAACCGGTTTGAATCCGAGAGTTGATATCATATTTTTGATTTTTCAAAAGACCCCCTTTTTATTTTGTGGTTGCACGATGTTTTGCGCATTGGAACAGTAAGACGCGGAGACTAACGGCCGATTTGTCCGATGGTTTGTCAGGGCTTAATGAATTTTGTGAGCTTTTCCTCAGGGGAAGGAGGATTTAGCTCTGGAGTACATCTAGGTAGTAGATGGATGGTATTTGGATATTCTGTCTTTTTTGAACGTCTAATTCTCTCGGGATAAGCACTATGAAACTAACTACACATGAAGCTTATCATGTCCATCTACCCTCAAATAATCATACAATCCTCACCTCTACCCCGCTTGTTATTACCGATCAAAAAGTCTCATCGGTAGTCTGCGTGTCTGCCCCTCCTCCTCCCCCCTTCGCTTCAATCGACGCAACTCCAACACCCATCAATCTCTTGGAAAGAAAAATTGCATGCCTCCTCTTGTACATAGCTTCTCCACTAAGTTCCATATTATCTGTTCATAAATCCTTTGTTGTATCCACAGTGCCCAGATAAATCCCACCTGATAATTCTCTCCTCAGATGATGAACATGGAAACGTCGCGATGACTGCTAACGAAGTTCCTTGACAAAACGATCGTTCTTTTTTGATCCATAGAAACTGCTTATATTTAGATGCTAAGTTGTTTGAAGAAACTCTGAATAGACTCGATGGTTGAATTTGAGCCCAATTTAATTTATCACAGTATTCACAAGGTGGTCGAATTTGCCCTCTTTCTTTTTCTTCCGAACAGTCTATCTCCTTATGATATCTCTGTGGCTGTTCGAGCTTTCTTCGTATCAAATAAGAAATACGATGACTGAGAAGGCCTGACTATAGAGCACTTGTATAGAAGTTATTATAGGTGTACAGAGGCTTGCATTGTAATGACTATCTTATTAAGACTATGGAATTAAGAGAAACTTTTAGAGCTTCAAAAGTCTTCTAATTATTTTGATCATTTTAGAAAATAAGCATCACATGTAGAATCATCTATTAGCCAATCACGATATAGCAATCATCAAGATCCTCACTCTGCATAATTTGTTGCACATCGCAAAAAGGGCGAGAGAAAAGGGCCTCCAGTTTCCATGTTGAACAACGCCCTTACAACGCCCTTTTGTGCAAATTGATGAGTAATCTCACTGTCCAATCCGATGACCAAGGTCTGTTGCCATGCAATCAGATCATATATCTTACGTATAGATATGCAACACTACCTTTCAAGACATCTTAATGATGATTGTGATTGGAGTAGGGCTGTAA